CACTCTTCCTATCTGGTAAGTAACATCCTACTTTCATACAAATATGACAAGTATTCATTGGTCAATCACCTCCAATCTAGCTTGCTGATTGGTCAGTTCCGACCAATCAAACCGCCTGCACGCGACCAATCTGTTTTTCCCGCGTTCTCCGTTTGAGCCTCCCACGTGGTACACGACCATTATATAAACCGAACACGTGTGAACTGAGTAGTTTTCTTTCCATTCATCTCTCTCGCACGTCTCATACCTTGCTACCAAGTGCCAAGATGTAACCTTCACCAACTTCCGTCTTAGTCACGGCTGACCAGACGTTAAAGACAATTACCAACATTGACGAACTCTGAAATCACTCCTGAACTTTTACCAGCTTTAGAACTCACAATTCCAAACTTTATTCTTCTAAATTACAAGTTCAATATTACTTCTTCTTAATATGAACTCCGGTAAAAATATTACCAAGTCAAAGGGACACGACTCTGTCCTACCTTTTCAGTTCGCATGCATGTACATCAAACATTAATAAATTTAATTGTTATGTTTTGGAATCATTCAGTTCAGTTTTGCATTTTATTATGTGCTATTTATAAATATAAATTGCATTGTGTTCACGCATTGTCCTGAATCTCATCTTTCCTAGCCAAAGTTAAATTTTGGTACCTCATCACATATATTGGAGGTGATTTACGCGGGAACAAACAATTATGGTACCCTATCGCTACAATGGTACCCTACCAATACAATTCCGTCTTCCTTTCTTTTAATCTCTTTCTATTTATCTCTCTCCCTATTTTACTTTCTCTTTGTTTCTCTCTTGCTTTCTCAACGTTACTCTTTTATCTCTTTTTTCTCTTTCTCTCCCTCTTTGCCCCTCTTTCACTCTCTCTGTTTCTCTCTTTATCTCTCTATTCTTTATTTTTGTCCTTTTTTTAACTCTCTCTTTCTCTTGCTCTCTCCCTCACGTGGGTTTTTTTTCTTTGTCGATCTTTCTTTTTTTTTTCTTGTTCTTTCTTTTTCTTTCTCTTTCGTATGTGTCTTTCTTTTCTCTTTCTGTTTGTCACTTTCCTTCCATCTCCTTTTTGTCACTCTCTCCTTCTTTCTCTCTTTCCTTGGTTGGGTGGTGTGATGTTGCGTAATTGAATTGTCAAGCGGAGTTCGATTTTTTGTTTGGGGCTTTTCAGGTTAATTTTGCACTAATACACTTGGGGACGACATTCTGTCTTGTCGTTATATATATTGATAAATTGAGGGCGTGGTCACTTTAGTAAACCTCATTCCATAACTATTTTCCATGCAATCAATAGCTTCATCTACAACAAGGAAAATTGGTTCCATATGTCGCGCCAGAAAGTTTTTTCTCGCCTGAGTCCATCCTTCAAATCTATAAATAAACCATTCGTCCTTGCATCGAATACTGTTGCCATATATAGTCTGGGGCCACCGCTGTTTGTCTGAAGGACCTCGACAAAATCCAGAGACGGATATGCAATATGATTGCTCCTGATCTGGCATCTCGTCTACAGTCACTTTCTCACAGACGTGCTGTCGCTTCCCTCTGTCTTTTCTACAAATAATTTCACGGTAACTGCTCCGACGATCTACTTTCGCTGGTTCCGAAACTACATGAATTTAAGCGTGCTACTAGGTTGGCATCTCAGCCCCACCCTTTCACTGTCGAAACTGTTAAATGTAGCCGTCTTTTCTTCACAGCTTCATCTCTCGTACTTAGGGAACTCCCTTTCTCTTACTTGCTTCCTTGATAGCTATAATCTTCAATGATTCAAATGCAATGTCAATCGACATCTTCAGATGCTTTGATCTAATTCTCCGTCTTTCTCTTCACCCTTTCCTCTATCACGCCTCTTTACTCTTGTTTCCATTCTCTGTAACCCCTTGCGTGCTAGTGGCACTCCCACCCTGCTTGGGGTGAATTGCTTTAAAAGAAAAATGATAACTGCAACATTTTTTTCATTGCAAAATATCACCTTTCATCGGAGTCACCATTAACTTCACCAAAAACCATAAATTACTTACGCAAGCACTTATTTTCCAGCGTTCCCTCGAGTATGCAGACAGTAACCCTAGAGGGTTTTTTTTACGTGTGCCAAGGCACTGTCCACAAACAGGGAGTTTATGAAGTCCGTGTATAATTTTAAATATTATAGTTTTGGAACTACACGTTTCTGTAAGAATATTTAAAAGCTTTATCTATTCTTATTAACTGTTCATCTTTTGCTCCTGTGTCGAGGCTTTCTTTCTATGTGCCATGTCCTATCAGGACATAGGTGAAAATGGCTCTTCACCCCACCCCTCTATTTCTTGCAACTCTCAACAAGTTCCTTCCTTCTGACACCTCCTCCAGACCACGTTCTGTAATCCACTTGCTTAAGGCTGCTAGGTATGTCATGCGTTGTCTCTCTTTCCCTCTATTCGACACGTGAGTATCAGATTCTCCAGGCCCTCCTTCCTCATTATGTGTCCCAGAAATTTCAGCTGCCTCTTCCTGATGGTAAGTATAAGCCTCCTCCTTGTTTGCATCCTCTCTAAGACCTCATCGTTGCTCACACGCTGGGTCCATGATATCCTTAGAATCCTCCTGTAGAACCAAATCTCCATCGCCTCGAGTCTCTTCTTCATCTTTGAGAAAATCGCCCAACATTCGCTGCCGTAAAGAAGGACAGATGTCACGTA